TGTGCCACCACCTGGCTACTCATTTTTATTTTATGTGCATAGGTGTTTTGCCTGCATGTATGTCTGTGTGAGGGTGTCGTATTTCCCTGGAACTGGAGTTACAGCCAGTTGTAAACTGCCATGTACATGCTGGGAATGGAACCCAGGTTCTCTGGAAGAACAGCCAGTGCTCTTAACCATTGAGTCATCTCTCCAACCCCTATTAATGAGTTTTCAACTGCTAAACCCAAGAGCTTAGATGTCGGACAGCTCAACTTCTCTATGACATTTTCCTTATCGATTGGCGCTTCCTTTATGAAACTTTTCATCTTTTACATCTTTCTTAACATCACTCATTCCTAATTGCCTTGCTGCTTGCTCTAGCCACATCTCAGTCTCCTTCCTTGACCCCTCTTCATCAGCCTTACACAGGGATGTTCCTTTGGCCTCCTTTTCCTTCTAGCCTATGCTTTATCTCTGGGCAATCTTTCTGGACTTGATTACCATTTAAATCTTAATCACTCCCCAGTCTTCAGTCCCAACCAGTTTCTAAAGCTCTAGATCCATACGCTCAATTGGAGATTTCCAAATACTTAACATATCCAGGGAGACCCCCCCCCCAAAAAAAATTTAACACATCCAGAGTACCCCAGGGATACTCTGTTTGCATTCTTCATCTCAGTGTATGGAAACACCATCTTCCCTGTCATTAGATTCATATGCCTCATCTGTCTTGAATTTTGCATCAACAGACATATAATGCAAGGCTCAAAGGTACTCTGGGGCGGGGTAACAGGGGTTCAAAGGCAGGTCTACCACTTTCTAGGTGGGTGATCTGCAAGATGCTTGTCCCCTCTGCCTTTATCAGCGCCCAAGTGCGGATAAGGATAGAAACTACCCCATATAGGTTCTTATGAGGATTAGATTTGCATTTGCAAAGTGGTCAGGCCAGTGCCAGTACACAGTAAGTGCTTGCTGATACACCCACCGATCTTGAGTTCGGCTCCACTCTAGTCCATCCCTTACCCTGCTGACAGGTTTTGAGAGGTTACCAGTTATGGGATGTTCAATCAGGGCCCATCTTCATGCAAAGAGCTATCGGCACAGAGTCTCATTTAACCCACAAAATTGTTTTCTAATCACCTTTGGAAGAATGTGGAAGGAATCTGGGGCTATAAAGATCAATGTACCTTGCTCAAGGCGGTCGGTAGCTTGTAAATACAAAAGTGAGGAATCTATTTCAGGTCTATTCCTAGAGTCAGTGTTGGGAATATTTATGTGCACTGCTTGCCCAGACAGAAGTCAGGCACTTACTAAAAATTCTTCAGACTCCATGTTGGTGTTGTGATCAGTTTCTGTCTTAGTTAGGGTTTCTGTGGCTATGAAGAGACACCATGACCTTGGCAACTCTTTTTTTTTTAAAGATTTATTTATTTATTATGTATACAACATTCTGCCTCTGCCCGCATGCCAGAGGAGGGCACCAGATGTCAGTACAGATGGTTGTGAGCCACCATGTGGTTGCTGGGAATTGAACTCAGGACCTCTGGAAGAGCAGCCAGTGCTCTTAACCTCTGAGCCATCTCTCCAGCCCACCTCTGAGCCATCTCTCCAGCCCTTGGCAACTCTTATAAAGGAAAACATTTAAGTGATGTAGTGACCTACAGTTCAGAGGTTCAGTCCATTATCATCATGGCATGGCAACGTGTAGGCAGACATGATGCTGGAGAAGTAGCTGAGAGTCCTATATCTTGCAAACAACAGGAAGTTGACTGAGACACTGGGTGGTATCCTGAGCATAGGAAACCTCAAAGCCTGCCCCCACAGTGATACATTTCCTCCAACAAGGGCATACCCTCTCCAACAAAGCCACACCTCCTGATAGTGCCACTCTCTACGAGATTATGAGGGCCAATTACATTCAAACTACCACAGTTTCTTTACAATCTTGTTCCAACTTCATTTTCTGAGATTTACTTCAGGTGGTCTGGACTGTCTTGCTTTTCTGTCTCCATCTTCCCTCCCTTCTCTTCATCCTTCCTTTCTCTCTCCTTCCTTCCTTCCTTTTTTTCTTTCCTTCTTTCCTTCCTTTCTTACTTTTTTCAGTGCCCAAGAGCCAGGCACTGTGCTCAATCTTAGAAGAAAAAAAAAAGGAGCAATTAATTCTCAAAGAGCTTGTGGTCTGATCAACAATTAATAGCAACACGATGAATGGAGAACAACGGGACCAAGGAGGAGAGGGGACCACGCAGACAGTTTCAGCTTTCTGGAGGATATTGGGGTCAGATAACACTGAGTCACTCTTTAGCAATCCTGCCATCTTGCTATATGCCCTTGAGGTATTCGAGGTGTCCCTTTTTGCTTGTCACATCATTGTCTGAGACTGAATTTCAAAATCATCTCCATGACACCATCTTTTTCTTTTTCCTCAGCTAGATATTCGCTTCCCTTATCCAACCTCACTCCCAGCATAGTTCACAGTGTAGGCGATTAGTCTGTCTGCTCATCACTTGACTAGACTGTGATTTCCTTCCAGGAAAAGACAGTTTTATGTCGTTTTGAATTGTCCTTCATTCCCAAAGGACATGACTGGAATATTAGAATGCTCAGCAGCCTTTTGTTAGAGATTATGTTCACAAAGAGAAGTCTTAAGTAGAGGGCCCTTCTGGTTCAGAGCAGAACCATTCATACTATCTTTAAAACATTCAGCTTTATACTCTACAGAGAGTAAGTGTTCAGTAAACGTCATTCAAATATTTGATGAGACATTTGTAATAATGCTCAGGATAAAGAAATTTCACCTGGGAGTGATGGTGTGTGCCTTTAATCTCAGCACTCAGGACGCAGTGGTAGGTGACAATTTCTATTGCGCTAGAGGCCAGCCTGGTCTACATAGAGAATTCCAGGCCAGCCAGGGCTACATAATGAGTCCCTGTTGCTATTTTTTTTTCTTATCTACTTGTGTGGATAAATAAAGACTGTGTCTCGCTGGGCAGCTGGGCTTTGAGTCAGCCTGGAGAAGAACTAAGAATTATTGGTTTTAGAGCTAGAACTAAGGATTTCATTTTTCCCTCAACTGGACCGCAGTTCCTGAATCTTATATACAATTAAGGCCTGGGCAGGCTGTGTTGTGGCAGCAGTGCCCCCAGTGTATAATGTTCCCCTTTGCCTGTGTTTTCCTCCTGGCATTATACTGTTGTAGAAGAGGGGGGCGGAGGAGTACCAGGCTGAAGAGTAGTCCTACATCTCCTCCTTTCCTTCTCTTTGACCTTGATTAGCCCTTTTTTTTGTTTGTTTGTTTGTTTTTTTTTTGTTTTTCGAGACAGGGTTTCTCTGTGGTTTTGGAGCCTGTCCTGGAACTAGCTCTTGTAGACCAGGCTGGTCTCGAACTCACAGAGATCCGCCTGCCTCTGCCTCCCGAGTGCTGGGATTAAAGGCGTGTGCCACCACCGCCCGGCTCTTGATTAGCCCTTTTTAAAAAAATCTATTTTTATTGTTTTTAGTTATGCGTATATGTGTGGGTACAAGCACAAGAGTGTAGGTGCTCTCGGGTGCCACAAATGTCCCTGGAGCTGGGAGTTACAGGTGGTTGTGAGCTGCTTGACCTGGGTTCTGGAATCAAGTTCAGGTCTGCTCTTAATTGCTAAGCCATCTCTCTAGGCCTCTGATTAACCCTTTGCCAGAGGTTGAGGTTTTTGTACAAAAGTTTGCCAGAAAGAGTTAGGCTTTTTCCCACCAAGCCTCATGCCCTGTCTTCTCCTGAAGAAACATTTATAAAACCCTATTGACATGAGTTAAATGGAAGGGAAGGAGAAAAAATCTTGTGTGTGTGTGTGTGTGTGTGTGTGTGTGTTGGGAAGCCAACAGCAGAGATCTATATTGTCCCAGGTACAATACTTCCTAGCAATCCTTTGAATCTCATCAAAATTGTGAGAATTCAAGGACAACGGACATATAAGGGATTTAGAGCAGTGCTTGGTATAGGGGCAAGGACAGACAAGCTGAAAAATCTCAGCTGCTGTGTTATCCAGGGCTCCTCCACCCAGGGTGGCTTTTGCCTCAAATAAGTCCTCTAGGGCAGTCATTCTCACTCAGAATGTGGTACTTTGCTCCAGGAGTGGTATCTTCCCAGAGGTTCAGCCTGGATACAGGACTGTCTCACCAGAGGGTGGATGCAAATAGGATTCTTTTTCCTCTCAGCACTGTTTTCCCTCTCAACCCTTGTCCCAAGCCTCAGTCAGCTGGATCACAGACTAGTTTCAGTCCTTGTTTTTTTTTTTTGTTTGTTTTGTTTGTTTGTTTTTTCGAGACAGGGTTTCTCTGTAGCTTTGGAGCCTGTCCTTGCACTAGTTCTTGTAGACCAGGCTGGCCTCGAACTCACAGAGATCCGCCTGCCTCTGCCTCTCGAGTACTGGGATTAAAGGCGTGCGCCACTACTGCCCGGCTCAGTCCTGGTTTGTATCCAGGTGTTTTGGCTTTTCTTGTAACTCCAAGACTAAACAGACAATTACGTGGACAGAAACAGCACAAATTTTTTGGCACTGACATTTTAAATTGAACTCGACAAGCATTTATTGAGCCCCTAGAGCATGCAAATACAGTTCCTTTAAATGCATTTGCCTCTTAACTGTTTCAACTATTCAATTTGGATTAGTGCTGATTCATCTTTAAGGGTTTTATGAAGAATCAATATTAAGATGGAAAAAATATTTGCACAGTTCTCTGCAAATATAAGCGTCTTGTGTGGATTATTGTTGCTCCAGTAATAATATTAATTGAAATAACAACAGTTCTGCTTCCCAGGCAGACTGTAGAAAGCAGCTGTAGAAGACAGAGATAGGCGGAAGAGGTCAGGGGCGGTGCCTTTACCTCGTCCGGCCCAAAGAGGCGGAGTATAGAGGAAAGCCCCCGGAGGCCCCGCCCTGTATCCCGCCCCCTCCGTTCGAGCGGCGTAGGCGGTTACCATGGCGATGACGTCTAGAGGGCGGGGCGGGGCGGGGCTATGGAGAGGAGGAGGAAGATGGCGGGAGGGCGGCTCTGAGGAGACCTCGGCGGCGGCGGAGGAGGAGAGAAGCGCAGCTCCGCGCAGCGCCGGGGCCCATGTGGGGAGGAGTCGGAGTCGCAGTTGCCGCCGCCGCCGCCTGTAGCTGCCGGAGCCGGGTGGGAGTGAGGGGGACACGGCAGGATGAAGTTCGCCGAGCACCTCTCCGCGCACATCACTCCCGAGTGGAGGAAGCAGTACATCCAGTATGAGGTACCCGCGGCGGCCGGGTTTGGGGCGGGCTCGGAAGGGGCTGCCATCTCCCCAGTCGCGACCTCAGCCGCCGCCGTGAGCTCCCCGGCCGGGGCGGACTTTGACCCACCGCCGCGGGGAGCCCCTGCGGCATCCCCGGCGCTTCTGGCCCCCGGCGGCCAGGCCGTCCTTCCCCTCCCCCGCAGCCCTCTGCCGCCGGGGTAACGGATGTGCAGGCGGCGGCGAGAGGAAGGGCACAGCCGGGCTGGGGCTGAGGAATGGTGGTGGGAGGCTGAGCCGCAGGTGTGACGGCGGCCCGGGGTCGCGGCGGTTCGGCGCCACCCTCTCTCATTTCCCGCTGACCTCCGGTCCCCACCGCGGAAGATTACCCCCTAGCTAAGGTTAGGTGCTTCTCGCCGCTCATCTCTCGCCAAGGAATCGTGCTCTTGCAAGATAAGCCCCCTCGAGCGATTGCCTTCAGGCCACCGAGCCCGTCGGCTTACCCCCACTTGCCCACTGTTGACAAAGGCTTTATAACAGGATTGAAACTTGGTGAAATGAGTTTCACCTAATGCAGTGGTTATAGTTTCCAAACGCATTGAACTAATAGTTCTGTTTTGATAAGGAGACGGTGTCTAGTCTTTGTACTGTTTGCACGAACTATACAGAGGAACCTCATCTTTGGATTTTCACTCTTCTCAGGTTTTGGAATGGAGGGAAGAGGAAGGAGGCAAGAGGATCTTTTCAAATTTCAGATTTTCTGCTAAGTTTTTTGTTAGGGAGAAAAATCACTGTAATGTAAATACTGTACCTTACTTGTGTGTTACAGGAGTCATGTTCCTCCCTTCCTCTCAGTTTCTTCTTCCACAGCTTTTGGAGGCTATATAATAGATAGTGTAAGGAACCTTGAGTCAATATTGGGAACAGTAAAGACAGGGAAATCCACTCACATATTTAGAAGGTAGGGTCCCTGAAGGGTTTTTGAGCTTGCAATAGGTTATTCTCAGAAGCTAGTAGCTCATCTCCTGGATAGAGAAAGACAGCTGGGTCTCTAACCTCCAGGAATTCACATCTATGGTATGAGCAGGAACAAAGAGTATAAAATCAATAGGAGCGCGCGCACACACACACACAGACTGGCTAGGTTTTATGAATTAAAATATTTTGGATCTCTTTTTAACTTTATATAAATTTAGTGATAGGATGTTTAGGCAACAGCAGTAAGTTCATTTATTCATGCAGCCAGTGTAATAATTGGAGACCTGGGGTGGGGGAAGGGTGTAGTTAGGTTAAACAGAATCTTGAAGATTGTAAAATAAGTTTACTTACAATATACTGTATTTAATGCTGGAGACGAATGGCTTATTATTGATAGTTTCTTGCCAGTTTGCTTGTAGGGTTCTTTAACCGCATTCTGTAAGAAAAGGCTCTAACAGTTCAGGCTGTAGAGTGTTGATTTAATGTTTGTAATAACATTCAGTCAGTTTTAAAACCTTGGCTAGCCTCCAGATGGTGGGTTTCATTGAAAGGAGGGCCTTGGCTTTTCATCCCACTGCGGGCACTTTCAGCACCACTGTCAGTTCTTTAGAGAGACTGGGACCGGAGCATGCCGAAGCATATCTTACTATTTATTATACAGTGTGGAACGCTTGATTTCTGGTCAGAGTAACAGTGGTAGGACGTATCCTATGATTTGTTTGAAGTATTTCAACATTTGACTATTTTATAGAATTAACTTGGACTATCTTGGCCTGGAAGGGGAATCATATGATTTAGTTTAAAAATGCAATTAACCCTTGATTTGTAATGTCAGCTTTGTGGCTGGAGTAACCACAGTGACTCTGGGACTCCTCAATTTACGTAGTCTATTTGGTTACTATTATTTCTAAATGGTTACTCTAGATTGGCCACTGAGGGACAGAATTCCTATGCCTTAGAGTAACTGCATTTTCTTTCTCAGACCAATTATAATTTACTTTTAGAAAAATTCATTTATTGTGGATAATTGAAATTTGATTCTACAGAGAGATTCCTAGTATGCAACTCCTATTCTTGGTAGACTCATTGTTCTATAGGCAAGGTGAAAAATAAGGGGCTTTTTCTTTGTAAGTTGGATCCATTTGCATGATAGTGTAGTCTTTGTGCTGTGTATTATTTCTAAAGATTTGGTGCTGTTCCTTTAAACATAGCATAGAGGTATGAGTAAGAATTGCTAAGGTCTGGGAATGTTAGTGACTTTAAAATGCCAGGGAAGAGACTGTCTCAAAAAATAGGGGAAAAAGGTATCTATAATAAAAAAGTTAGCTTTTGCTAAGGATTTGCTTAATTTTTTGTAATATGTGTTTTCATGTAGTTGGAAATAATGCTGACCAAAACAGTTGGCAGAACAGACACTTGGATTTGTTTTTGAAGCTCCAGTGATGAAATTTGGTGCATTTCCCTTAATTCAAGCTTAGGTTGCTTCTAGTGCCCCAGACCAACAGAAACTGTTCAGTTTCTTTGTTTATGTCAGTTTATTAATTATTACTTGAGTTAGGTGGAGCTTTAGATGGAAACTGAACATTTTGCTTGCATTATAATTCTATATAATATTTAATTATATATAATAGTATAGATACATGTGGTATTTGGTATGTTAGCTGTGAGGCCCTGGAGAGAATGTTTTTGCTCTTCCTGCTCTCTTTTTTTCCATAGAGAAATACATAAAGGGCCAAAGCCCTTTAAGGCCCATTCTAGTTCCTAAGTGTTTGGTTTAACTTTTAATTTCCTGAATTACTAAAATTATTGATAGTATTACGTCAACATCCTGAAAATTATTAGTCTTTAAAAAATTGTGGCATTCATAGTCAGAATAAGCACAAAAGAATAGATAAACAAGGCAAGGCCATATACAGGACTTCTAGTTGATGCTTTATGAACAGTTTTACCAAGAATAAATACAAATGAGGAGAGACTATCTTTGTTCCTGATAATCTGAATACAAATCTCAGGGTAGAAAATGGAACATCAGTAAGTGTTGGCACAATCCTTTGAAAAACTTTAGAATCAATGGTTGTATCTGTAATAGGTTAATTGAAAGTAACTCAGACCAATTTCATCCAGATAGACTAGTGTGATCAGATAAAGGCTAGTATATTTGATGCCTTTGATTGTTGACATGATCTTTTTTTCTCTCTCTCTAGGGTCCTGTGTTTTGGTGTCTCAGGAACCAAGAATGACTTTTTAAATGTATACTGTAGTAAGCATAAGCATAAAACAGTGAGCTCTCCAAAGTTGAGGAATTAAAAGGAATTTTAAAGATTATCTACTTCCTTGCTTTTTCAGGCAAAGAAACTCAGGTCTAGAAAGGTTAAGCCATTTGGATTCATATAAATGTGTGGACGCACACACACACATCTGATTTGTTTCTTGAGCACTGTATGTTTCAGTATTGGGAACCAGGTCACATTAGCTGTGTGACCCTATGAAATCACTTCCTCCTTTTGGGGTTTCAGGTTGTTTATCTGTATGTGGTGTTGGAGAACTGAACTTTGATGATTTCTAAGTAAGCCTTTTATAATCCAAGCACCCATTCAATTATAAATTTCTGTGGGGTTTTTTTTGGTTTAATTATGTTTATGAAGAGAATTTAAGGAACTATTTTTAAATCCTAATATAAAATTAATGTTTTAAAAAAACATCTTTTCAAAAAACTTAATGAAAAGCCAGGCATAGTGATGTTTGCCTTAAATTCCAGCACTTGGGAGTCAGAGGCAGAAAGATCTTTGTGAGTTGAGGCCAGCATGGTCTACATGGTGAGTTCCAGGACAGCCAGAGCTACATAGTGAGACCCTGTCTTCAAAACAAAAAAACAAAAATCCTCCATATAAATAAATATGCCAAAAAATTAATAAATTAAAAAAAATTTAATTGAGATTTTGTTGTGACTTGAAAATTCAGTGAAATCTTTTGTGTCCATTGCTGGAGATTGAACCCAGGGCTTTGGGCATGCTAAGCAAGTCACTCTACCACTGAACTACATCTCCAGCAGGAGACTTTTATTTTCCTTAAACAGAAAGCAATGTGATGAACTGATTTTATGTTGCATGATCTGGAAAACGTACTGCATAAACTGCACTTCCCCATTGTCAGGTGGAAGGAAGCCTTGCTGTGATGTTGTTCTGATTTTCACTTATAAAGCCCTCCTGTGGGAAAGCTTGTGTTGCAGCTTCCGTGTCTCAGGGGTATTATGTTGATTAGTTAGGGTTCACTTGCCTTGCCGGAACTTGTTTGAAATTTTCAGTTTGGCCACCCGATGGGGCACAAACAGTTTTTCTTGATGGGACTTCTACAAATAAAGTACAGTGTAGTATATTTTAAATAATGCTTATGAATGATTGTTAGTGAGATGTCTGACATTTACAAATATGATTTAAATGAGTGAATAAAAGTAGAGCAGGAAGCTATAACTGTTCTTTATTGTCTCTGTAAAGTATATTAGGGTGAGTATCCTGGTAAGATTATACTTGTCTATCCATCTCTGAGGCTGATTTTGGATCAGCTTTTGGGTGAAGGCCCAGATCATAAGAACCTAAGAATCTTATTTGACCTGGGGTGACCATGGAAAACTAGTCCTGGCTTCAGTCCTCATTTGGAAAACATTTGAGAGACCGAGTTATACTTGCTGGGGGTTTCAGGTACTTTTTACTTTTAGTCCCTAAAGCAGCGTACCCCAAACTCTATGGAGTGAGACAAGATAGTGTTAAAACCATTAGTTTTGTCAATTTTATGCATACGAGAAGGAAGAAATAACATTTCCAAATGTTAGTAAATGGATTGGTGTAGCACTCTGCCAAGCAGGCTTCCCACAAATGTTTTAAAATTCTGAGGGAGTCAGGGTTTTCAGTGATTTGCTCACTTCTTTGTTCATTGTCAGCGGGTAGCAGTTAGTACAGTTTGCCTAGGTAAATGAATGCTGTTTAAGTTTAGCTCAGTCAACCTTCAAAGTCAGTAAAACTTAAAGGGACCCAACAGGAGATGCT